AAAAAAAAAAATGCATCTCAAAGTCTCAGTGGTTAAGCTACATAGCAGAAATAAATCCTTTTTCTTTTCTGTTTTTGTTTTCTTTGGTTTTCTTTTTTATTTTTTTTTGAGATGGAGTCTCGCCGCTCTTGTCGCCCAGACTGGAGCGCAGTGGCGCCACCTTGGCTCACTGCAATCTCTGCCTCCCAGGTTCATGCGATTCTCCTGCCTCAGCCTCCTCAGTGGCTGGGATTACAGGTGCCCACCACCATACTTGGCTAATTTTTGTATTTTTGGTAGAGATGGGGTTTCACCATGTTGGCCAGGCTGGTTTCAAACTCCTGACTTCAGGTGATCCACCCGCCTCAGCCTCCCAAAGTGCTGGGATAACAGGCGTGAGCCACCGTGCCTGGCCTAGAAATAAGTTCTTTCTTATCCTAACTGTAATTTTCTTCTCAGGTGATTTTGAAATGCTGTGCCACTCACCTTTTCAGCCACTTGTTCCTCTCATTCAGTCAGGCCTCACTGTGGCACCACACTGATTTTTATTAAGGTAAGTAAATCTCTTACACTGCAGTGGGTATTATTTAAGCATCTAGCTCCAAACATAGTAGTAATTAAACCAGCCTTTCCCTGTTGATGAGAATGTCTCTATATGGCTTCTGAGCACTTGAAATGTGGCTAGTGTGACTGAGGAGTGAATTTATGTAATTAAAATTAAAATAGCCACATGTAGCCACTGTACTGAGTGGTACATGTTAAATCTTTAATCAAAGACGATGAATTAAGAGGATATGCATCTATTTTTTTTCCGCTGATGAATGCCCCATCTCAACCTTATTTCTGCTAACATTTTTCATCTGAAATAAAATTAACCGTGTCTGTTGGCATTTTTCATTTGAAATAAAATTAACCATGTCTTCTATGGTCTCTATGGTTAATTCTGGAGAGTTAATTATTTTATTTTTTCATTCTAGAAAGCTTTACTGGAGCAATCCATACAAAGGACATCCACGCACTTCCATTAGTTTCTTGACGGACATGTTTTACTCTCTATCCTTCTGCAAGACGCTGGCTACTGCTATCTCAAAGTCCTCCCGGGTGACATGGACTCGCTGTTCCCTCAGGGCATATATGGCGGCTTCTCTG